AGATCCCTTCCGGAAGTGGCGCGATAAAGTGGTGAGACCTGACCTCAGATGACGGGTAGTAAATTACGGGCCAAAGGCTACCGTGTAGTTGTCTCAAGACGTAGGTCGTTTCATGGATGGTCTCCCTGCTTCTTCAATGTGGCTAATCTATAGCAACTGTGTACACTCCAGACCTACCCTTGCATGCGTATGTAGGGCGCTCTGATGCGTGGGGTTGGTATCCTGCATGCCAGGCACAGCCAAAAGCTCGCACGTCAAGTGACTGGGAAGTACATGAGGAGGCGGCCGGGGCGCCCTCGAAAACAAAGGCCCATTGTTCCGCTCCAGGATAGCGTGGCTACCTGTGGTCTATCCTAGCCCGCACGACAGAGCCTGGCAAGCTACTCGTGTGCCTTCAATATGCCGAAAACAGCAATATGGATGGGCCTCATTCCCCTGAACCTGAGGGAGCCCCCAATACGGCAGCGTTGGGTAGGACCGCTCGGGAGAGGCTGCTAGAATCTCAGGGCCCGGATAGGCTGCCTAAACGAAGAAGGACTAAGATGGCGATCTGTACTTTCAACGCACGGACGCTTGCGTCCTAGGCACATATTGAAAAGCTGGTGGTGCTAAGAGGGTCAAGCATGGTGATTAGTTGCGCAAAGCTTGTTTGTAATACTACCACGCTCTGCATGGTGAGAAAGCGCCTGTAGATATTTATAGAAACCTCTCTTGAATCAGTTCTGATTCGACTGCAATCGTTCCGCGTGAAACATTAAATATACAATATTCGACTTACCTATGCCGCAGGATACATAATCCTAAAACGACAGCTACCATTGCTACTGCCAGCACCGTCATGCACAGCACAATAATGAAAGTTGGTGATGTTCCTCGCTCAGGCATAGGATAAGAGAGGCTCTCCGACGAAGTCTAAAATATGATTGTGGACACATTTCCTGAACATCGATCCTGGCACGATTATAAGAATTGTAAGATTTCCTCTAGCTTTTCCTGAATCAGTTTGCGCAAATGGTAGAAGCTTGCACTCTTTTTCTTTC